GGTCGGGTCCCTTTAAGCACAGCCCTCGGCTAGCCTGAGGCAGCAGCTCCACACTCTAAGTCCTAATCTGATGCCCTGCCGGCACTGCTTCCGGCCAGCCTTAATCTCAGTTCAGTGTCCACTCAGTGTGGACATGCTAGTTCGAATTAGCAAAACGCTAATTCGAACTTATTTTTTAGTCTAGATGCACTAGTTCGAATTAACTAATTCGAATTAAGTTAGTTCGAATTAGCGCTGTAGTGTAGACATACCCAGGGTGTGTCTAGACTGCGTCCCTCTGTTGGCAGAGGGATGCACATTAGGCAGGTCGACATTGCAAATGAGGCAATGATTTAAATATTCCGTGCCTAATTTGCATAAAAATGGTCGCCACATTTTGCCGACTCAGCATTTTGTCGGCAAAAAGCGGCAGTCTAGAGGGGGATCTGTTGAGAAAGAAAGCCTTCTTTGACAGATCCTGTAAACCTCCTTGTAGGAAGCATAAGGGATCTGTTGAAAAAGGCTTTCTTTCTCAACAGATCCCCCCTCTAGACTGCTGCTTTTTGCCAACAAAGTGCTGAGTCGGCAAAAATGGCGGTCTCTGCAGTCCCCCCCCCCACACACACACACTGCTGCTTTTTGCAGACAAAATGCTCAGTTGGCAAAAATGGCGGCCATTTTTATGCAAATTAAGCATGGGATATTTAAATCTCCACTTCATTTGCCATGTCGACCTACCTAATCTGAATCCCTCTGCCGACAGAGGGATGCAGCCTAGACATACCCTCAGACTTCAATGGGATCTTAATTGGCTCCAAGAAACTATAGAGTATATTCTGCCTGTAATAAATGCATGTGTCCTATATTAATCATGATAAGAGATACACATTGCCTCATGATCGTCAAAGAACTTCCAAGGTGCTCAGTTGGAGAGAATATCTTTTAATTTACCCCATTCTTTTTCCCAATCTGCTCCATTCACCTGATTGGTTAAAGAAGAAAAATTAAGTGGATATTATAGGCAATAATGGCTTTTAAACTTTTTTAAAGATACTTTGCACAAAACTTTTTTTAATTTTTTTCTGAAACACTGATCATATATGACAATTACTTTGCCAATTCTACTGTCAACAACCAGGAAGCAGAAAGTCAAGCCATATCTTAATGCTCATAGTTCTCCCTTCATGAATGTGCTAATAAAATCAGGTTGGGCAAGTTAAATATCAGCTTATGAGCCTACCTGATATATACCATTCATGAAATGAACTGGAATACTGAAGGGCAATGAGTGGTGATAGGGGTTTCTTAGAAGAGTTGAAAGGATTTCCATCCTAGATGGCCTTGCTTCTCGATCTCCATTCTGCTGGGTTCTCTCAACACATCGCTGACAGTAAATTGCATATTTCCCAAATTCAGTTCTGTGACAAAGAAAGAAAGAGAGCATGACTCAGGAACTGATTCTGTATGTGTCAAGCTGAGAGTAAACCCACTGAAAGATCCCAATGGAAGGAGAACTGTAAGGTTTCCTTGTAAGGTTTCCAACAGCTCTTTACATCAAAGGTGGGAATGTAAAGGGTGTTAACCACTGAAACTAATACAGTTTTGCCAGGAATGAATTTGCCTCAGAATGTAGTGGGTAGCCTGTGTATTATGCTTTTACATTCTGTGTTCAGATACTCTAGCACAATTTCCAATACAAAGGATAATTTTTCAAGTGATGCATGTATCTTATGTGTACAAATGATAATTTGTAGTATCTATGCACAAATGTCAGAAAGTTTATTTTAAAATGTATCCAAGGAGCTTCAGCAGAGATACTTAGACAGTAATAAGTATGCACACCTGGAATCGGCATTCTTTTTTAAGTGAAGTTTGAGGAGCCAAAGGAATGGTTGCTGAGGAAGGAATAGTCCAACACAGAGAGCTAACAGCTGCAAACCCTGGATAAAAGAAAAAAATCATCATGGGCCTCTTACAAAATTTAAAAAAAAACTTTCTACTGTGATCACTTGTCAAATCCCAAATGAAATTACAGACAATTAGAAGGAAAAGCTCAAAACTATACGTGAAAAGCTTAAATGAATTATGATATTAACTCTTCAGAAGCCCAAGATGTCATTAACTCTATTTCTTTATTCCCCTCACTCCTTGCAACTCTTTTTGATTAAGTTTATATATAAAATTACATACAAAAACTATTAAAAGAATGGTAAGGATGCAAATCAATCACTAAAACATTGGAGAATACTAGAATCAAGGTTGCTTGTGCAAGTTTAATTCAGCTGCCCTGTGAATACACATTATAGGTACAAACTTTAATAACATTACATCCCTATTTTCCCCGCAGGTACTCTGCTTCATTCAGACTACAGTATAAACAATGCCCACTGAATGAGCAGCTATTCAACATTTTGTTTTATCTTCATTTTTCAGTGCACAGACCCAATACTTATTTACTGCATGCTATTTAAACCTACTCTGAATACAGAATTATTAATTTTCTTGTGAGTTTTTGTTTGGGGCTCACCACTTCAGCACTGATTTCAAAATATTCATTAATTTATTTTCACAACATTCTTGTGAGGTATTGTCAAATCCCTGTGAGGTATTTTCACAATGTTCTTGTGACAATAATGTGATATTATTATCTGCATTTTATATCTGGGGAACTAATGCACAAAGACATTAATGTCTAAAGTGTAAAATAATTGTTGTGCCAATGTTAAGATGTTTATAACCTGACTTTTTTTCAGAGAATGTAGCATTTTATTTGTTCAACTTTCATTGACTCCAGGGGCAGTTATAAGTGTCCAGTAGTTCTGCAGACCAGAGGAGTCTCAATTGGGACACCTAGAAAATAAGAACTACATAGTTAATTAAAAATTTGGTTTAAATAACTTGTCCTGCATCAAATAGGACAGAAATCTGCTTGAAGTGGCATACAGTTCCCTAACCATCAAACTATTCATCACTTGCTGCAGTCCCCTTTCTCATTCATAATGCAACCTCCAGGATCTGCAGCAAATGAAGCAGGGATCCTATAAACATATCTCATTCACTGATATATTTCCAGGTCACTAGTCATACTGTGCACTGAATAAGGCTTGGATACTATGGAAAAAATAGTATGTGACCACATAAGTAAAGACTGTATATATGTACAGATACTAAGGGGCTGATTACAGTTGCACTGAGAGTGAAAGGAAGATCTCAGGTCCTGTGTATGGCAACACAGCTATCTATGGGTGGTGGAAGGAATTACCTGCATGCACACTATTGATGGAAATTTCAGAGAATGTAGTTGTTAACAAGTCTCTACTGAATATACTCAAACACAATTTTAGAGATTCATAATTGAGCCAGATTTGGGGAAAAGGCACAGTGACAGCCCGAAAATCAAGGCAACCAAATAAATTTTAAATCCCTGTTTCAAAGTGTGCAGGCACTAGAACATATTAAAGCATTGCAATAATTTTTTAATTTGAGTAAAAAACATATTTTCCTTGACCTCAATCTGAGAAACTTGAACATTTTTGCTGATTTTTTTCCACAATAAATCAGTCTGAGGCAAATACCTCACATGGGAAATTTTACCCCAAGTAGTTTAAGATGGCAAAACTGTAAGCAACTGAAAACAGGAACTTATAATGGCAAATGTAAGAAAACCTCAATTATAGATCTACCTATATTCCACCCCAGATTTCATTTGCTGATGCTATCCTCATATCTGCACTGCTCTAGCCCAGGACAAATGCTGAGGGATAAACAATGAGGCAGCTTCACACCTTACCTGCAGCTTGAGTGGGAATGTTATTATTTTATCTAAGAATCTGCAGTTTTTTTCTCTCGGCCCATTTAAAGCCTTATACAACTTCCATTAATTTAAGGAAAAATGAATGGATTTCAATGAGTGACGGATCAGACTTTTATTGGGAGTGACACTGACATGAAAATGTTTGAGAGAAAAAAATATCCACCCTTAATGATCTAGGACCTCAAAACATTCCCTCACTTAATTATTTTTATTTTATGTAAGCACTTTAATGTACTTTTAAAACCATTATAGAAGTTTATAACATTTTTTATCTATAAAGGGATGCCCAATCAATAGTGCAAGAGAATCAAAGGTTACATTAAAACCATCAATTTCAGTTTGTGAAATCTGTACATACTACTTAGATTATAATCCTTCCCTCCTCAATTTTATTTTTTCCCTGTTTACAAATTTGAAGAATAATGTAGTTCTTCTAATAAAACACAGTGAAAAAAACACAATTATGTTCTGCATATACATTATTTGTTATGCCGTATGTACATAAGATCAGTGGGATTCTGTAAGGTCAGGCACTGGAAAAAAGATATGTGTCTGAAAACAGGCATAATCCAAAGCATGGTCAAATATGGGAAATTAATTCCCCCTACTCAAGCACACTTTAAAAACAAATGGGCTGTGTGAGTTAAGGGCTGAATCTGGAAGTAATTTATGAAGACAGGTTTTCAAGGAAGCATGCAGCAGCTGAGAGGAGAACCACAGGAGTACGTGCATTATACCTTACTTTAAACTTTAGTTGTGGGAAGCCCAAGTTGTATTGTGTTCAGCCTTTAAAAGATATGAGATGTTCTTTACACTTATTTTTCTGATTTACAATAAAGCATAGCACAAAGATATTAATTTTACCTAAGGATGCAGAGTTATTTTCAGTACTCAGTGGCCTGTCATAGTTCTTCATTGTTCACATGAAGGACAATTTATTAAAAGAAATTACTCATTAAAATAAATTACTCATACCTGTATTGGTCCAGCTTGGTTCTGTGGATGTCGTCTTCTTGTTTGTTTAATGAGCTGGCAACAGATCTCATTTTGAAGCTCAGGATGAGTGAGGCAGATTTGCAAAGCACTTTGGGCCAAAGATACATGGTAATCAATGGCAGGAGAGTCAACTGCAGCATTAATAAACAACTGGCAGGTCTGGATGTAAAATAATAATATGTAAGTTTATATATGAACCTCCATCTAGCCTCTTCACAGAGGTGTTTAATAACAAAAATGCAATAATATTTAAAGCATCATGAACTAAATTAAAATAATTAAAAAAACACATAAGGTGCTGTCACTAGAAATATACAAGAATAAGGAGCATGGTTCTCTACACAGCCAGATTTAAGATAAAAATATCTCAACAGTCTACTTTTAAATCTGAGGAGAAATAAAACGAGGCAGGTTTCTGCAGGGTCTGAATTCTACTCACTGGAAGCTGTAACAGCAAAACCACAATCACCTACTGAGACATGATGAGGTGATGTCAGTTTTCAAAATGTTCTAAATACAGCCAGGAGTGGACTTATATACATTTTTTTAGAACTTTGAAATCCAAGAGGGCCAGATGAGACTCAATCATCTACTATTGTAAAGTCAGTCAGTACAAAAAGAAAAGGTGGACATAACATGATCATAAATATGATCATGGCTGGTCAGTCCTGTGAGATGTTGCGGTGTTGCATGCTATAGCAAGGCTGCTGAAACAAGATCAATAAACTTTAAAGGCCTCATGCAATCAACTACAAATTGACCAGAACACTGGGCTTTTTTGTTTCTTGAACTTTTTTTTTTTTGCATTGGGAAAATTGTCAATGTGAGAAAGGGAGAGGAAACAAAGAGGGGGGAGATATTGGGTGGCACAACTAGTCAGTTCAATAGTTCTTTAGGTCGTGAGTCTTAAGTTAAAATCTGGGCTCAAGTCCCATGAGTTTGATGGTCTCATTGTGAGTCTACTTGTTCATATCACAAAACCAGGATAACATTTTGCACCACCGGCAGTCTCTGCTCAACCAAATCCCACTGCAGAAATAGCTAGGAGCTTCCATAAAGGGATGGCAATGCTGTAATAGATGCATCACACCTTCCCTTGCTTTTGTGATCACAAAATCCACTTACACATTTCAAACGTTAATCTGTAAGGAATTATTTTAATAACCACAAAAGAAAGAGCACAAACTATCAACAGATTAGATTCCTTCTGTCTGGAGATGATTAGATATATTTGACTAATTTTAATTAGCAGCAGAAAACTAAAAACAAATTTAAATGCCTTTCTTTTGATTGATATATTAGTTTTAAATCAAGCTGAATTCACTTGTCAGAGCTGCATCCTTGCAGAAAGGCAGTTGTTATATAATCTTTGTACTATTCTTAATAATATGGTGTAATTTTTTAGGTCTAAATATTTTGAAGAATCTTATTCTATAGTCTTCAAATACATTTTATTTTACTATATTTAATATATAAAGGAGAATATTTGTATGTTTGTGCGCTAATATCTTGGGAACTATAAGAGCTACCACAACCAAACTTTGCATGGGGTAACCTTTCCTCCAGGAGAAGGTTTTAAGGTACTTTTAGCAGGGCGGAGAGAAGCAGCTTCCTGCGGGAAGCGGCGGCGACAGTCACTAACTAAGGCCGGTGGTGGAGGCGCGAGGGGAGGGGCAGTGCTCCGAGCGGCAGCTGCCCCACTTGCCTCTACCAGGCCGTTCCACTGCGCAGGAGCATCCAGGGCAGGGGGGCCCCTCCTCTCTCCCGCCCGTGATGTCACTTAGCCCGGACCCCTTCTCTCCGGCAGCAGCAGAGGGCTGCAGAGCAGCGGGCTGGAGTTTGCCCCAGTGGGGAAGCGGCCCGGGGTCCAGCACAGCTTCCTGGTCACGTGGCGGGGAGCCCAGCCCCAGCTCGCCATGGCTCGCGGGAGAGGGGAGCCTCCGGCGTGACCCCTGGTGCAGCAGGTAGCAGGGCAAACGTTTTGGGGCGGGTGGTGGGGTCATTGCCCTCTGAGGCACCTGCAGCCCCGGACGTGAGCTGGGCCGCCTCACCCACCCTAGGTCCTGTGCTCGCTTCTCACATGGGGCACCCCCGGCAGGACCCCACCGCCCGCCCCGAGCAATGGCAGGTAACTTCAGCTAGTCTAATATATAAAGGAGAATGTTTGTGCACTAATAACTTGGACACTATAAGAGCTACCGCAACCAAACTTTGCATGGGAGAACCTTTCATCCAGGAGAAGGTTTTAAGGTACTTATGGATCCTACTGGGCCCGAGCTCAAGCTGTAAAAATCAAAAAGTAAACCGCCACGCTGCGCTGCAGGGGCCATCCCGTCCACCCTAGGTCCCATGCCCACCACCTGCGGCCCTCAGCGCCATACGGGACTTGCCCCCTCCCACCCATGAGGTTACATAAGCGACCCTCTTTCCCCCCTCAGCCCCGTGCCGGCACGCAGTGCCCTGACCCCCATGCACACAACGGCTCGGGGACCCGCCTTGCCCACTGCGGCACCTGCAGCCCTGGGCGTGAGCTGGGGTGCCCCTCCCACATGTAACCTCCCCTCCATCCGGGATCGCACCGCGCTCAACCCGCCCGGGTATGACCCGGACCTATATTTGTATCCCTATAGAAATCAGTGCAACTTTTCTACCATTCAAAAAAAAATAATGGACTACTGTTTTTCTACATTTTGTTCCTCCAGTTTCCTGAGCAACACTGGGTAACTCCAGCTAGTTATTATTTAAAAAGACATATACTTTTCATTTGTTCACTAAATTTGAGAAGGATAACATATGTTCAGCTTAGATATGTATATGAATAAACTGATAATATTTAATTTATAAACAAAAAAGGACAATAAAAACTTTCCCTCCTAAGTCAGCAATTTGAATTCAGTCAAGGTCCATAACGAATGACAATCGTTACCATATTATTAGAGTTACTTCAAAAATTAGAACAAAAATGTTAAAAAATGATGATCTTGGGTTTATTTGTTTTGGAGTTTTTTGGGGGAAGGGCTACATGTTTCCCCATCAGAATTTGTATAATGATTTCCATCTAGAGAACTGGCTGAAAACCATCGTAAAAGATACAATTTATTTTATTTTTTGTAGTGGTAATTATTTCTTTAAAATGTACTTGAAAAAAGAAAATTCAGAAAATTTCAACCTGCTCTCTATCTCATGGATATTTCGTAGCCCATGAATTTGAACCTAGTATCAATCCAAAGATCCATTATCATGCTTGGCACTAATATAATGCTGATAGGCAGAACCAAACCTGGGACCTCTGGAGCTTAGCATGTGGCTTTTAGCTCAAGTGGTAGAGGCTCAAGTAGCTTGCAGCTAAGACTTTAGACAAAATTTATTCTCTCTCTCTCTCTCTAAGTGGCCTAAGTGCCATGACATGGGACAGTGAACCAAACCCAGAAGGCCAAAAATTAACAGGTCTGTAGACTGAACGGCTCTTTCAACCATGCCACTGTCCAGGCATTATCTGTTCTGAAGATAAAGACATAACTTTTCTTTTCAGCTTGTGATGGAGTGTACCAACCGCACACTGGGTCAGAAGGGGTTGACGAGAGTCTGTGAACTCAAACTCCATCCTGCTATGCCCGAAGTAGGTGTCAACCCTGCAGGGAGGAGTTAATAGGGCTGCACCCAGCTCACTTGGGGGCTGACCAAGAAGGAGCACAGATTGTTGGCTATTACTCAATGAGAGAAGCCTGCATGGAGTAAGGCTATTGAGTTGGATTACTGACAGTGTCTCCCTGAAAACAGCCCAAAGCAGTAGTGAAGGAAAGCTAGAGAAGTGAGCCTCCCCAGAATTCCCCACTCTAATGAAATAGCTAGACGGGAGCAGGCCCTGTCCTGCCAGAAAAGCAGAAAAAAAAAACTCTTCTGCAGCAGAATCAGCTGTGTAGTAGAAAATGCTAAGAAGCTCTGCAATGATACTGTAGAAGAAAGTTTAAAGAGAGAAGCTGATACACTATGTGCCTGAGAAAAGTCTGTGGGAAAGATCCAAAGTAAGAGCTAGCAATGGGACTGTGTAGGCAGGCCTTGACTACTTATTAAAGGGTCCTAAGATCTAGTGCAGCGGGAGAACCTAGGTTTCGCTATTAGCCCAATGATGAAGATGGAACAAAAACCTGCTACTAAAGGTAAGGGCTGTTGAAGCCCCTGATATCTGAGATAAGGACTACTGATTCTAGCGCTGGACTGAAAATGAGATTAATGGACTATTCTTTGGATTCTTGACTCACTAAGAAGGGGAGACTAGGGTTGCCAATTTTGGGTGGATGAACACCTGGATGTTTCAACACGTAACATAATCTTTAATTAAAGATTAATCTTTAAAGTCTCCAGTAGATTGCAGGACTATCCTGAAGAGTTTGCAGCCACAGAGGTGGGACCATATATGACCTGGTGAGAGGGCAAAGAATCAGAACACTACAGCTGTCAGTGGTGGAGAGCCTGGTACGCCACACATAGACTCCTTTAGTGAGAAAATGTTTCTCTCTCTCTCAGAAGAAAATACAAACATTTACCAGGATTTTACCTTAAATAATTTAATTGCTTCAGTTTGCAGGGCCTCTGATGGCAGTGTTGTAAGAGGTGAAGCAATTCCTTCTTTGCTGTGACAAAGAGTAGGATGTCTCCAAATTTGAGAGGCTGGACAGAGAACACATGGTCACCTCTTACAAGAAATCATTTAAGGTAATGATTTTACATAACATCTTTCATCCAAAAAGAACCCCACATATTTTATAAATTCTTAGTAATTGACTTTACGCACACAAATCATTTTGGCCACCAATAAAGTGCAGCCATTTCTGGGGTAAATCATAGCAACACATAAAAATGCATAAGAACACTTTTAATAGTAAAAGAAGAGTACCTCATTCATTTGACATTTCAGGGCAACTTATGAGACAGAACCAAATTACCCATGTTGGAACAGATGTTGGAAGAAATAAAAGTCCTGGTATTTTAATAACTTGCAAATGTCATTAAATCTAGGTGCTGCACCTCACCTGAAAAAGCACTGCTTTCTCCAGCACAGGACTCCCTTAACACCTTTATAGATATTGACTCAGCAAGAAAACAAACTCATCTGTCCTTATGATTGAATAACAATCACTACTTTTTCAGCAAAATATGTATTTTGTTTCCATTCTGACTGTCCAAACACATAGTGCTATAGTTGAGTTAAAAGGCTTTCCCTATTTATTTTCCCAGATAGCTATGTTTATGGCTTTCACATTTTGACAGATATGGAGAATGATATGGAGAAATATATATTTTCTGAGAAGTCTCCCATTCAAGTACTGAACTACAGGTTGGACCTCCCTGGTTTAGCACCCTCGAGACCTGAACGGTCCCACACTAGGGAATTTACCAGACTAGTGGAGGTCAGGTCTTGGGCTCTCCCAGTGCTCCCCTCCTGGCCACAGCCCCAGCCACTGCACTACCCCCTGCATGCCTGCTCGGCTCTGCTGACCCCACCCTCTGGTAGGGTTCCCTTACAGACCACTGGCCTCACTCTGACTACCTGCCCCCAGCCAGGCTCTTCTCGAGGCCGCCGGCCCAGCTCCGGCCGGCAGGGCTCCCTGCTCCCAGCTGGCAGGACTGCTCTGGCCTCACTCCAGCTGCAGCAGGGCTTCATGCCCCCGGCTGGCAGGGCTCCCTGCCCCCAGATGGAGGGGCTTCTCTCCAAGCTGTTCTTGCTCCAGCCGCAGCAGGGTTATGCATCCCAAGCCAGTAGGGCTCCCTGTTCCTGGCTCTGCTCTGGCCAATGGGGCTCCACACTCCGGCTGATGGAGCTCCCTGCCTCCAGCCACCAGCCCACTGGCCGGGCTTCCTGCCCCCAGACCTTGTGGGGTGCCAGTTGTTGGCAACTTATGTGCCTGGGGCTCTTTGGTCTTGCAACATCCATAGTCCTGCCAGACCACAGATTTTGCCAGACCAAAAAGTACTGGAGCACAGAGGTTCAATCTGCACTTCAAAGCTCTTTAATTTGAGGTGACCGTTTGAAATGATATGCTCTGCTGTGTGTATGTCTAATCAAAACAGAACATTCAAGGCAAGTCTGGTACAACTCCTGTTTACTTGGCTCACTGTTTCCAAGCTCCATACCCCAATGATTAGTTCCTATTAGGGATGTTACAATGCATATATTTATGAAAAATCCAGTGGTTATATGTTTACATGCAGAGGCGTGGCTCTCCGGGAGCTAGTGTATGGGGAAGCACCTTTTATCAGAGGCAGCAGCACAGGGGGAGGCAGGTGGGAGCTGGTGCTCACAGGGAGCCAACTTAAAAGCCAACTCCCCACGTATACCAGCACTCGCCTGCTCCCCCACACTTCTGCTTCTGTACCAGAGGCAGCAGCACAGGGGGATAGGCAGCCAGTGCACAAGGGGAGCTGGTTTTTAAACTGGTTCCCCTTGCGAATCCAGGTTCATCAGTTAACCATATACATGTGTATACTATCACATCCCTAGTTCCCATATAAAGTTATTTTATGCTAGAAAAGTCTGTACCATGTGGTCTGTCCAGAAAAGTTTCAGCAGTCGTTTTCTGGCTCAAGAAGCTCAACGAAACCAACTGCCAATATAGTTTTGAACATCAGAATCTAGCCCACTACGGAATGTGATTTGACTTACTGGACTAGTAGGGGACAAGAACTCAAGAGACTCACAGTAAGGATATTCTAGGGATGGATGAGAAGCTATAGCAAGCTATGCTACTGTGACATGCTATGGACAAGAGAAGAGTGCTGATATACTGTTGAGGACTCAGGCAGAACATCGCCACTTTCTTTGTTGCTTGCCGTAAGGGCTGCACCCACATTCTCCTTTTGCATGATAAGACAATATCAGTTTATTAATGATGTATTTCTCTACTTTCTAAAAGAGCCTATCTGTTTAAACTGTCAAAGACCACACAAAGAATATATAGTTGATAATGATCTCTCAGTGAATAACCACATTCACCAAGACCTGTAAATAATATTAAAAAAATCTCATGCCTGATCCTGCTGCAGCAGCACTGTGTGGGGGCAAATGGCCTTTTCTCCACATTCTATGTCTACCCCAGGTTAGTGCAGAAGTGGGTTTATTTTGGCAAGGTGAAGTTTCTCTCTTGAGTAATCAAAGTGCTTGCTTGTTGGCCAGAAAGAAAGTGATTCAATGGTCCTTTGTTTAATAACACCTGCCCCTTGCATGGCCCTTCCAATCTGCAGATATTAAATCACTTTGCAAAGGATGTCAGTGTCTTTATTGCCCTGTTAGAAATGGGAGACACAACAGCACCGAGAGGGAGGGGAAATGACTTTGTTCAAGGTCGCACAGCAGGACAGTGGCAGAACCAGATACAGAATCCAGGTCTGCCATGCTTCATTTGCTCCCTACACAAAGCCTCAGAAGAGCCTCACTTTCATTGTAAGTCTCATAAAGGAAGGTGAGATAAAGCCGACAAGCAGCATGAGCCTGGAATGGGTACCGATGCTATGATGTTCGAGTGCTGAAATAGTATTTCTGTGAATACAAGGTTGCGCATGCTGCATGTTTGTTTAGCAAAATGATCATCCTATTGTCTGTGTCAAAACTTTAATGACTTCAGTGAGTGTTTATGTGATGTTCTGTAATTGTAACTGGCAGTAGAGGTGCCAGGTTTTGAGCTCTGGTGGAGTGCATGCTGAGGGGAAGTCATTGGTGGTTCCACCTTCGGTTATACACATTGGCTTGAAAACGTGCCATACATACACCTACTGACTTCTGGGGAGGTATTTGCTTTCCCCACACACTGCCCTCTTATCATCACCAACACTGTAGAAAGGCAAGGAAAAAAAATGTAAGAGAAAGGGTGCTGGTACTAAATGATCTATAGCTATGGTGTCCAACACTCTAGCCATTAGCCACATGTGGCTATCTGGCAGGGTGAATGTGGATAGCTGGCCAATTGAGTGTGGCTAGATCACTATACAGGTAGCCACTATAGAGGCTACTGCTTCAGAACTAGTTGGACACCACAAATCTATAGAATTATATCCCTGGTTTGCATTTCCAAGGCTTTGTGTTTAGACCCTTCTGTACACAAACAAGTAGCACTTCTTACTGGCTCAAGAGATTTCTGAAAGATTTGGTGTCCTTTGACCCTCCAGGTAGCACAGGATAGCAGCAGCCCAGGCAGTCAAACCGCTTCTACTAGGCACTTAGATAGCAGTGCCCTAACTCAGAACCAGTAAATATAACACCATCCGTGGCACATTATACAAATGTCAAAACTTAAGTATATTAAAATGGATGGAAAGTTCTAAAGGCTCTTGGCCACTTTTATGGTTAATTCATATTAACAACAGAAGACAAAAGGCCAAAAAAAGTCTACCTGGTAGCTTTTGCTTATCCTTGAATGAAATGTTTTGAATGCCTTTTAATATCTAATGAAATCTAATGACTAAACATTTACTGTTCATGAAAAAACACATTTAATTCTTGTTCTGAATTAACAAAATTACTATCAAAACACAAGCACTGGAAGATATGCCTCCAAGTATTACTACACTTTTGACATGTACAAAAAGAGTGACAAATTTGGGACAAATATGCTCTGATTACAGTTGATCAGATAAGTATTAAGACTGTGAGAACCAAAAATAAACTTACTATGCTCTCCTTCCACATTTAGCAGTTTGCAAACAAGCTGTTCAAATTCGGATCCAACATTTACATTGGTGCTCCCAGCAGCCACAGTCAGGTGATAAAGCCAAGTGTCCTACAAGACAAAAAAAAAGAAAGCCTAGTCATCATTTTAAGAAGATTTAAGAACATAAGAACAGCCATACTGGGTCAGAGCAAAGGTCAATCTAGCCCAGTATCCTATCTGCCGACAGTGGCCAATACTAGATGCTCCAGAGGGAAGGATCACAATAGGTAAATCTCACGTGATCCCTCCTCTGTCACCCACCTCCAGAGAAACAGAGGCTAGGGATACCATGCCTACCCATCCTGGCTAATAGATTAATGGAGGTTAGGTCCATCTATGGCTATCTAGTTCGTTTTTGAACCCTGTTAAAATTCTAGCCTTCACCACATCCTCTGGCAAGGAGTTTCACATGTTGACTGTGTGCTGAGTGAAGAAAAACTTCCTTTTGTTTGTTTTAAACTTGCTGCCTATTAATTTCATTTGGTGACCTCTTATTCTTATATTGTGGGAATAAGTAAATAACTTTTCCTTATTCACTTTTTCCATACCCGTCATAATTTTATAGACCTCTATCATATCCCCCCCCCCAAGTCTTTTTAATCTCTCTTCATATGGGACCTGTTTCAAACCCCTAATCATTTTTGTTGCCCTTTTCTGAACCTTTTCCAATGCAAATATATGTTTTTTGAGATGACGCGACCGCATCTGTATGCAGTATTCAAGATGTGGGCGTACTATGGTTTTATATAGAGGCAATAAGATATTTTCTGTCTTATTCTCTATCCCTTTTTTAATGACTCCTAACATCCTATTTGCATTTTTGATTGATGCTGCACACTGAGTGGATGTTTTCCGAAAACTATCCACAATGACTCCAAGATCTGTCTCTTGAGCAGTTGTAGCCAAAATAGGCCCCATCATATTGTACATATAGTTGGGATTATTTTTTCCAGTGTGCATTACTTTACATTTATCAACATTAAATTTTCAAAAGGTAAAAATATTAAATTCTTTTATGGAAATGTTCCAAAACAAAGAACTTCAAAAATATCAATCTTCATTGAATTTGGCAATCGTAAACATTGGCTTCATGCAGATAGGGTCTCCAGAAAGTACAACCAAAAACATCTTAATCCTGACTTGCAGCAAGCTTTCTAGTCTACATAGGTATCTTTCAAATGGAAAGTATATTTAAGCCAGATGTGATGGATGTCCAATAGAGACTAGGAAGAGGTACATACTTAATGTACCTATGGTGGAATGTAAGTGCCTGAAAGCTGAATTGCAGTGTGCTAACTCACTGAATCACTGATTCATCTTATAAGAAAGCTTCTTCCCTCCCACATCAAGTGCTATACTTTCCTGTGAAGGCCCCAGGATTTCCCCTTCTTTTACTTTCCTATCACAAATCAAAGTCTTATATTACAATCACCATTCATTTTAGCCTAAGAGAGCAGAATGGAGCTAGAGATCATAGAGTATGTCTACACTAGCCCCCTAGTTCGAACTAGGGAGGCTAATGTAGGCATTCAAAGTTGCAAATGAATCTCGGGCTTTAAATATCCCGGGCTTTATTTGCATGTTCCTGTCCGGTCGCCATTTTTAAATTCCACTAGTCCGAAGTAACTGCCCGCAGCTACACGCAGCAGTGAAATGGTAATTCGAACTAAGTCCTTAGTTCGAATTAACTGTTACTCCTCATGGATATTTAAATCCCGGGCTTCATTTGCAACTTCGAATGCCTACATTAGCCTCCCTAGTTCGAACTAGGGGGCTAGTATAGACATACCCACAGAGACTATGTCTACACCACAGGGGTTTTCTGGGATACCAGATCCAGGGAACGCATCTACTCTTCCACTTCTTTTTGTGGAAGAGCAGACACGCTCTTTCTGAAGCCCTGTCTTCCTCCTCCAACGAGGAAGAAGGGGTCTTCTGAAAGAGAAGCCTTTTCCAAAATTTGACCCAGTGTAGACTCTTCCAAAAAAAACTATCAGAAAAAGGTATGCAAGTTGTGGAGCGCAATTTGCGTACCTTTTTCCGATAGATCATTGTAGTGTAGACATAGCCTGAGAGATGCAAGGTATTCCCTCCTCTTCTCTCTAACAGGCTAATATGATGCCTTTCTATTACTTATTGTCCTCCCAACCTAGGAAATAAGATCACAATTCAAACAAGGTCTACAAAATTCTTCAAACTTTTGTTTTATAATGTTCTGAAATAATTTCTCTCAGATTATTCCCCTTAATCTTCTCTTTAGTGTAACCTTGTTACTATTACTGCAGAACTGGCCAGTAAACTGGAAAAGAGTACCCACAGGAAAATCTACTGATATTTTCCAGATACTTTAAATGGGGTCAGTTAACTACAGGCAGTCCCCGAGTTACGCTTTGCTCCGCGTCTCCCTGGTCTGTTGGTGGGGGAGGGGGGGCAGCTAGTGCGCCCCCCCCCCCAGCAGACCAGGCTTTTCTCGCCGCTGGTCAGTTTCAGCAGCGGTTGAATCAGGACGCCTGGGGTAGAGCAGCTGGGGGGCTGCTGGGTTGGTCCCACAGCGCCAAGGTGCGGCGCTACTGGACCAACCCAGCAGCACCCAGCTGCTCTGCCCCAGGCATCCCCAAGTCAGCCGCTGCTGAAACTGACCAGTGGCTGGCTAAAGGAAGGTTCAGCGCTGCAGGACCAACCCAGCAGACCCCCAGCTGCTCTGCCCCAGGCGTCCCCAAGAGTAGCTGGGGCGCTGCCAGTTTGGTCCCGCCGCGCCAAGGGCCGGCGCTAAACTGATCAGTTTCAACCACGGCTGAATCTGGATGCCAGTTCTGACTTAAATCCAGATTCAACTTAAGAACGCCAGGGCATCCAGATTCAGCCGCTGTTGAAACTGATCAGCGGCTGAATCCAGGAAGCCCAGGGCAGAGAAACTCTGCCTCGGGCTTCCTGTAGTCAGCCGCTGATCAATTTCAACAGCGGCTGAATCTGGACACCAGTTCCGACTTACGTACAAATTCAACTTAAGAACAAACCTGCAGTCCCTATCTTGTATGTAACCCGGGGACTGCCTGTATAGTGATTACTCAAACCCTGATTAGTATTTGTAAAGTCGTGACCCCTTGTCTGTTACATTAGGTGACCTGCTAGATTGGGGTGGGCAAGATCCAGCCTGCAGGCAGGATTTGGTCCACCAAGCCTTTTGATCTGGCCCATGCCTGCCCCTGCAGGAGGGAGCAGTGCCAATCAAAGCATCTAGCGGCTCTGAGTTCCTCTCTATGCTGCAAGGAGAAGGGAGGAAGGGAAAGGCTTCAGCATGCTGCTCTTACCCCCAGCAAAATCTCTCAGTTCCTATTGGCCAGAAATCGGCCAATGGGAGCTGAGAGATTTTGCTGGAGCGGGGGCAGTGGAGCATAATTTCTCAGCTCCCACTGGCCAGTTTCTGATAAATAGGAGCTGAGAGGTTTTGCTGGGGGTGGGGGTAGGGTATGAAGCCTTCCCTCCCTTCCTCTTCCCTGCAGCACAGAGAGCCATGCACAGCCAGACAGTGGTCTGGGGCTGCTGAGGGGAAGCCTGCCTGAGAACGTTACTGGCTAGGGCTGCACCTCCCGGCCAGAGCCTGCCTCTGACACTCATAACCCCTACCAGACCCTTCACCCCAATCTCCTGTCCTGGATCACAGTCCACTCCTTTACCCAAACTGCCTCTCAGACCCCACACCCTCTCCTGCACCCCTGTCACCTACCCTGAGCTCCCTTCTCCACCCAACCTCCATCCCAGACTCCACAGCCCTTCTATAGAAAAGTGTGGCCCTTGACCACTAACCAAGATCCTGGTGTGGTATCCCCCCTCCCCCCAACAAAAAATTATTGCTCACCCTGTGTGAGATGTCAATTGTCTCTGACTATCCATATCTTACTCGCTGTAGAAAATGTTCGTATCACAATACCATAATCATAGTTGTCTTATTGAAACTTAAGAGACTGGGTATATTTACTACCTTCTCATGTTTGGATCCTATAAGAAGATAGGTAGGTCCTTGCTCTTTAGGATGGATAACAATGGTATAATGTGTTGATAATAGACTGCGACCACTGGCCTCGTAATCTTCATCTGAATCACATGACCTGTCAACTTCTTCAACTTTAGCTTCCCAAAGCATGATTTGACCAAGAGGAAACTAAAAGTAAAGATAAGCAATAATCAGGGAGCTAATATACATCTTGGAAAACATCAGTTTTACAGTTCTTGATTTACAAATGAAGAGAAACTGATAAACTAGCGTCAACACGCTTTGAACATTTGAAATTGGGAAAGTCCATATAATTATCATCTATTTAATGTTATCATCTAAGAATTGTAGGGTAAGCCATCTTCCCAGTTTACAATCCCCCAGGAGAGGAAATGTGGTCTTATAAAAGCACAGTCCTAGGAGTCAGATAGTTTCAGTTCTATTCCCAACTCTGCTTCTTTCTCCTACAGGCTATATTGTTCTTGATTGCTGCCCTTATCTGATGTAATAGGTCTTAATTGTGGGAGAAGATGCAACACTGGAAATATCCCAGGCCCAATCCATTTGAGGATTTTCAAGCTCAAGACCAGGACCTTGAATTTAACTTTTGGGTATGTCTGTATGTAGCATGCTGCAGTGACTAAGTTGCACTGATACATCTGCACCAATGCAGCACATCTGGTGAAGATGCTCTATGTCAATAGCAAAGCTCTGTCTTGTCAGCATAATAAAACCACCTCCACAAACAGCACAAGCTCTCCCACCAACATAGTGCTTTCCACACAGGTGCTTATGTTGCTGTAATTTATGTCACTTGGAGGGTGGTTTATTCATAGCCCTAAGGAACATAAATTCAGTCAACATAACCTGTAGTGTAGACATAGCTTTAATCTAGTATTTGATGGCTACCACTATTGCTACCACTGGATTTTTTCAGTGTCTCTGGTTTCGTTCTTAGGTATAGTGGATTGTAGTATTTAAGTCTGAAGGTTATAAATGCATATATGACTATGGCCAAATATATTGAATATGAAGGGTGAGGGAAAAGTGTCTTGAGGAACTTTCACAAATTAGGGATCTGGTGTCTAAAGAATATTTTCCTCATCACTCTGAGCTCAGTCTATATAAGACCATATATTGAATATGAAGGGTGAGGAAAAAGTGCCTTGAGGAACTTTCACAAATTAGGCATCTGGTGTCTAAAGAACATTTTCCTCATCACTATGAGCTCAGTCTGAAAGGAACTATTTCACTGTGCTGCCACATAGACCTGCTAAGAATCTGAGATAAGCCAGGCACAATTTCATGGTCTTTGGTGTTCAATGCTGTGGAGAGATCCAGCAAAAATAAAAGGGCTGTTTGTCTGTCTATGACCAAGAGCAGGCTGTGCACTAAAGCAATCAGCACCATATCTATGGCACATGATTAGGTGGGAATGTTTTTTAAATATCACAAGAGACAACAAGAAATTGGAGATTATATACCAGGAAGTAGCTGCCAAGTTTGGTTGCATCAAGAATTACATCCTTGGATATTGATTGGAAAATGAGTGTTTTAACACTCTTACAAGGTTTGTGAAGGATACAGATTTTTTGGTTCTTCTTCCATAACCAAAATGGACATGGGTGAAAGATACACATGGAGGCTTGCCTTTCTGGTTGTGCTTCTTTATTTCCTGCTTTACGACCAAGCCAAATTCTGAGAAAGAGGCTGCTAAATCCTAAGGTCCAGAGATGCTACCTCAGGTCTAAGAAAACTCTGCTATGAAGTACCTGTGCTAAATAGTATTTTTATTAAAGCACAGGATACTAATTTAGGTTTCACAAAGCTGTGTTGACAGATTATTTCAGTTAGTATAATCCTTCTCCATTGTTTGGCACCAGGTTTTCAAAATAATGATATTCTGAATCCTTTTACCAAAGGGACTCTGTTAAAGCATAACATATGCAGCAATTTACATTTCTGGATGCCTCATAGGCTCTTTATATTTATACACACATCCATTGTAATATAAACGTAAGCTTTCAGTTAACTCCTCCAATATTGAAAAATAAATCAGTTTTTTAAAACTTTGCACATATAAGTATTTTAAAAGCACATTCTGCTGGTAATAGTGGCACTTGCTCCACATTACCATATAATAAAATAGTTGTCCATTTTGATTTAAAAAACTGCAATAAAACTCTTCCAAATGTCAAACAACTATTTATGATGAGACAGCTAACTGCCTAGATAGTTCAAAAAGGCCTGTTCACAAGGAATAATTTTCAAAAATAAGAACTTGAAATTTCTTGTACTTTAAACATTTAGATTTCCTATTTTATTTGAAGTGAAAACCAAGTTAAAACTAATTTGTCATCAAATCTCAGTCAATATTTACATTGAAAATGTAAGCATACTTTTCTTAGCAGCTTCTCTGTAAAATGAGATACAAGTTCATCTGAAATGAAAGTGTTACTGGATTTTGGAATATTTCGGAATTAGTATTATACTTTTGAAGTGTAGCATTAACTAAACAAAAATCTGGAAATGTGGCTTAATACTACTTGTTACAACAGAGCTACTCAACTTTGGAAGCCCCGGGTGCCACAATGATACTCTCAACACATGCCAAGGGCCACAACTTAAGTGTGGTTGCATATATGAAAATATATGCAAATAGCTTATTTCACAATGATGGGCATGAATACAAAGCACTTCCCACAATGTCCTGGTGTTCCCAGCAACTCCTTCCTGGGGGCTAGAAATGCCAACACCCTGTACCCATCTGTTCCAGCCAGTCTGTCCACTTGCATCTTTCAATGCTCACCCCTCCTGGGAGACGCCTGTGGAATGCGTTCCCAGTGGACACCATGTTCAAAGGATCCCACCCGCAGGCCATGTGTTCAGCTCCGCATGAACCCAAACTGCACCGCAGGCCACAAACAAACGGGCCATGGGCCGTGTGTGGCCCCCGGGCCACGTGTTGAGTAGCCCCGTGTTACTATGTATGATACTATAAATAAGCACTATTTTACCAGTTTAAATTTTCCAATTGCCTTTAGTGACATTACTTGCATTGCAAAGTTACTTATATGCTTCAGTGTTGCTAGAATCTGGCCCTAAATTAAGAGCAAACAGGAGGAGGCCACAACAGGGGGAAGAAAAAGGAAAGGATGATGAAAGAAACAAGACACAGGATCTAAAGCCCAGTGAAATCACTATTGAGCTCGACATAGTTACATGATATTTAGGAGGTTAAAGTATACATACATTGGAAGTAACAATGGAGCTTCTCTGTGCTGCTTCTATTACTACAGGCAGTCCCCGGGTTACGTACAAGATAGGGACTGTAGGTTTGTTCTTAAGTTGAATCTGTATGTAAGTCAGAACTGGCGTCAAGATTCACCCACTGTTGAAACTGATCAGCTTCAGCAGCGGCCGAATCTGGACGCCAGTTCCGACTTACATACAGATTCAACTTAAGAACAAACCTACAGTCCCTATCTTGTACGTAACCCGGGGACTGCCTGTAGCTTATTTCAAAAATTGGCACTGTCTACACAGCACTTATTTCAAGATAAATTGCTATTCCAAAACATCCCTTATTCATCATGGAATGAGGTTCATGGGGATGTCGGAATAGCGAGCCCATTATATTTCAGAATAATGGGCACATTCAAAAGCCATGGAATAGCTATTTCGGGATACCTCCAGTATCTAAAAATAGTGCTGCAGTATAGACATACACTTGGCCTAACCCAGTATGATGGTTCTTATGTTTACTGGTAAAATCCATAATGTGGACACAATTATACTGATGTCCCAAGTAACAAGGTTTTAGAATTTTTTGATAAGGGCCAGATTCTTATCTGATATAATTCCAGCACAACAGCTTTGATTTTGGTTGAGCTAAACATGAGCTGAAGATCTGACTCTGCATTAGAAACCAGTTTTGCAATCATTGTCCATGTAACTACATCTAATGTAGCATACTAAGTTTGAGTAAGAAAATTATAATTGAATAGGCCTGGGAGATAAGGCTCCCTTTATTGACTACTTTTGTGAGCTTGGCCAAGTTACAACTTGTCCGCGCTTCTGAGGCTTTGCTCTGGCAAAGCCTCAGAAGTGCGGGAACCTGCCCGGTGCCCCTGGTCTACTGGAGACGGTCTCCAGCAGACCAGGGGCACCAGAGCAGCTTACGAACGGGGCTCTCTCGCCCCGGAGCTCGCAGGTAGCAATTCGCTACCTCGACCTCCGGAGCGAGAAAGCCCCGTTCGTAAGTGCGGATCCGACATAAGTCGGATCCGCGTAAGTTGGGGACTGCCTGTATTTTAATATCAATAGATAGTCAGTTGGCTACTGAATTTAATTATAATTAGGTTTTCATTGAGTAAAATAAAATATTCTAAAACCCAGGGGTTAACAATAAGACTGCTCAGATAACACTACAATCCCCATCCTTCATCTCAGCAATAGAGATGTTTGCTCAGACAGGAGGGAGAATGTACTACCCTAGAAGGGAGAGGGGGGCTGATATGTTCTCCATCTCAGCAGATGATGCGTTGTTATAGTGGTTGAACCAGGAAAATGGCCGCATCACTTTCAGAACTGGGGGAACAGAATAAAACATGTGGCCATAGATGCAGGAGCCTCTCCTGTTCCTTGGATTCTTGCATCTCATGGGCTGTCTGGGGGCAACATCCTGAGTCCTTTGCCTCTTCAGCTACCCTGCCCTCTATTTGCAGATGGTGAATGGTGCTCCCCCAAAATAGTCAAACCCTCTGCATTTTGGAATCAGGAAGGATTTTTGTCCATTTGACCAAACTGGCTGTGGACCAGTGGTTTTCTCACTTTCTTTTTAGCATTGTGAAGGCATAGTGGGGTAAAGAAGAGGAGCTGGATGTCTGTATATAGAAGGATTATATAGAAGGGTTCAGTTTGTTGCAACATGTAGCTGAAGTTCAGAGCAGATAAAGGCTAAAAAGGCTAGCTCCAGAGATCAATGAGACTGAGGATTTGTATTGGAGGACCTATAAGGAAAATGGGATACCTGAAGTCTTTGTAGATCAAAGTACCACACTTTAGTATTCAGCACCTCCCTTGGGAGAAGGGGGAGATGAGAGGACTTAGAACTGAGCTCAGTCTAGGGATTCAGGCTGAAGCGTCTACCCTCAGTTAGTTGTTACATAGTAGGAACTTGTAACCCTGTACTACGTTCAGTTAAATGTCTGGAATGAGATAGTTAGGTATATACAACTCATATTTGTTGTTGATTAATAAAGCTGCAGCTTCTCCATTAAAAATCAACCCCAGTATCTGTCTTTCATTCATCTGAGAGTCCTGAGGCAACAAATCATATTATTTTAACAACTAGAAAGACATACCTTATCTTCTTGACTACGGAAATAGTAAAGAGTTTTTCCAACCAGAGTACACCACACTCTTTTGGAGTATCCATGTTTCACCTGAAATTACAGTACAGTTAGGTACAAATTATTTTTGTGACACGGGCCCAGCCAGCGAAGCTTAGATATATATTTCAACCTCTCAGAATTCTGATGGCTGGAATAAGGATTTAATGTAAAACATTAATATAAATATACAAATTTGAAATTGTGTGACTTTCTGTATTATAGGTATTACAATTAAAGACCATTCAAATCAGTTGTAGTTTTTCTATTTGGGTTTGGATCACGCTTTAGATAGAAAAAGCTAAAGAAATGAAAACTGAATGGGACACTCAAACTACTACAGCTAATTAAAATACTGTAGTGCTTTACACGCAAGAATTTCCAAACACTTAATGAAAACTGAATATCAAAAACATATGAGGAAGGCAAGTATTAACATGCCTACTTCCCAAAGAAATAAAAGCAAAGGTATAAAGAGGTTATGTCTCGCAATAGGTCAGGAGCAGAAGCTGAGAGTTCTTGACTCCTTGGTCTGTTATCTAATGGTCAAATCAGAATCTTTCTCATGCTAACTTTGACTAACATGATTCCTCTGAAGAAATAAAAACTCAGCAGATCACTGGCTGATGAATAGAGAGGGTAACAGAGTAAAGTGCATTGTTGCCTGCTTTCCACAGATTCTTTGAGAAAATTAGCACAAGATAGTGCTAAGTGAATATCTGAGAAGTCTAGTAATAACACAATAGCCATGGGCACTTAAATGATTATTCTCCATTTATGAAATGGCATGAGTAGCGTTTACAATGGGGAAAGACATTTTAGAACTAGCAGTAAAGTTACTGTCCCAAAATTGCACAGGTTAGGGCAGACTGTTTCCTTATTCCTACCTATGCTTCAATTCTCATTAAACCATTGTAAAGAATAAAACAGTGGTACATTTTTTTGAGAAAGCCATGAAGCATAATGCTTTTTCTCTGACATCACTGAAATAAAGGGATGCCTTTTTATTTACATGACCTAGATGGGAAATCATTACTCTGGCTCAATGGTTAACTTTTAAAATTATTAAATATTAGCAGACTTACCCTGTGTTGCCTGGGGCCTTCAGGATAGAGGGCTGATGGCATGCAGGTGCAGGAGTCAGGGCAGAGCCCTGGATCTGGGAGGGGAAGGGGGTTGAGGGTGGGTGCAAGTATGAGGGTTGAGGATGAGGAGGGCCTCAGGATGTGGGGGAAGCAGGGTGGGCACCCAGCCTGGGCCTTTTCTTTCCCCCCGGGCCCTCCTCACCTGGGGCATTTTCTTTTCCTCTGGCTGCCTGGAGTGTTTTCTCTCATCCCAACCCCCCTGGGGGCTAGGGGCATTTTCTCCCCTCCCCAGCCACCCACCAGGGGTGTTTTCTCCCCCCCAGCACTCCCCCTGGCTGCCAGGGGCATTTTATTTCCCTCCAGGTTCCCCTGGCCACCAGGGGCATTTTTTCCCCCCTAGATCCTCCCAGCTCCCCCCAATACCAATCCAGCAGGGGGACTTCTCCTCCAACCCCCTCTGGCTACCAGGGGCCTTTTTTCTCCCCCCACCCGTACCTCAGCACTACAGCCAAGGGCCGGGAAGGGGAAAGGGTTTGGGACAGGGGGGCTATTTACCCGGTGTGCTTGCAGGCAAGATGACGGAGCCGCAGCCCTACTGGCCACTCCCTTGGCGGTACAGCCACCAGTGGGGACATTTATATCATGTCCCACTGAACAACAGCCCCTCCCTTTCAATGTTATGGAAAACAGTCCTTTTCGTGGGGCTTCTGGTTATCCTAGCACAACCAAACCCAGACACTGTTTTAAGTTAGGAGAAGAGGAAGCTGCATACCAAATTTGGTCGCCTTAGCTCTTACAGTTGAGGAGGAGTTTTTGAACAAACAGACTCACAGACAGATACACAGACAAACTCACTCTAAAGTATACATATAGACTAACATATTTACCGAGTGTTGCTTGAGTTCATAATTCAGGAATTTCATCAAATGTATTTTGTTTTTTCACCCCTATAGACTTTTATCATTCACTATGTTTTAATCAAAAAGGACTATACTCAATTTGATTTCCAACTCATTCTCTTTTAGTTTTCAATCTTTAAGCATTGATTTAGCTGTGCCAAAACAGAGCACTACTCCAAATTTCTCTGTTTTATCTCTTTTCTTTAAGATTTATTGAGAAGCAATCCTATTCTAAGTTCATACTATTTTTCTGGCTCATCTTGGTTTCATCTTTCAATATGCACTCAGTTTTGTCAGTTTTCTGTATTGTACTTAATTTGGTGATTCTGTCTCTTTTCTGTTTGGTTTTATGAGATACAAACCCATTCCAGGCATAACCAAACCCTACATTGCTTTAAGTTATGATAAGAGACCAAATTTGATGGTCCTACCTCTTATTGTTTAAGAGGAGTCCTTGATCAAACAGACAGAAAAACTCTCTAAATTTAGTAGATTTCAAAGCTTCACATTTTAAAATAAATAATGTAAGACAGTCTTGTGTTCACTCAAGTATCTACTGTCCCTGATGTTCTATTTATGACCCAAAGCAGCTGGTTTTAGATGAGCATCTGTAGCCAGACAGGAACCCCCCCTGTAACATCCATTTTTGCTTTCCTGGAGCATACAGGACACACAGAGCAGTAAAAGACTTGAACAGAAGGCCCTGGATATGCAGGCTGCTGTGACCCTGGATGGCTGTAAACAGAGATACGCCAATTGTTGACCAAGAGGCTGCCGAGGAGTGCCCTTGACTGAAACCTATATTGATATGAACACACACTGTCCGGGGGGAGGAATCTCCAGCCCAGTAAAAAAATGTCCAGTACTCACAATTTAGTTCTCTCTCTTGCAAGTGTAAATTAAGTTGAAACTCCCTTGTAAGAACTGGCGTCACAAAGACAGACCAACACAATTTGGCATCTTAGATAAGAAAGAGGGTACGGGCCCCTATGGGTATAAAGATGGGTCCAGCAGCACATTTACTCTGAGTGTCAATCTACTATCTATTTGCTGGTCGGTTTAGGTGTCTGACCTCCCGAGGTTCCACAGGGACACCCACCTCGTATTCGTCTTTCCTAGGAATTGAGGGACTGGCCCTGGCCTGATACGCTGGAGTCGAGAGGCACAGAAGGGGGTAAAAATTGTACCTGGATGTGATCCTTTGTCTTAAGTGTACACATAGACTTAGAGCTCTTTAAAGATTAAGCTGTCACTTGGTACCATTATTTCTATTTTCTATCTTTATTTCCTTTGTAACCATTTTTAAGATCTAGATTTGCTAGTAGTTAAAAAATAGATAACCAGGACAGTAATAGTGACTATGAAATGCTAAGGGAGATTAGAGAGGCTATCGCAATAAAAAGCTCAGTAATAGTAGGGGATTTCAACTATCCCCATATTGAATGGGTACACGTCCCCTCAGGATGGGATGCAGATATTAAATTTCTTGATACCTTTAAATGACTGTTTCTTGGAGCAGCTGGTTCTGGAACCCACAAGGGGAGAGAGAATTCTTGATTGAGTCCTAAGTGGAGCGCAAGATCTGGTCCAAGAAGTAAATAAAATTGGACTGCTTGAAAATAGTGACCATAATGTAATAAAATTTAACATCCCTGTGGTGGGAAAAACACCTACGCAGCCCAGCACTGTGGCATATAATTTCAAAAAAAGGGGAACTACACAAAAATGAGAAGGTTAGTTAAACAGAAATTAAAAAGTACAGTGATAAAAGTAAAATCCTTGCAAGGCGCATGGACGCTTTTCAAAGACACTATAATAGAGGCCCAACTTAAATGTATACCCCAAATTAAAAAACATAGTAAAAGAACTAATAAAGAACCACTGTGGCTTAACAACCATGTAAAAGAAGCAGTAAGAGATAAAAAGACATCTTTTAAAAAGTGGAAGTCAAATTCTAGTGAGGTAAATAGAAAGGAGCATAAACACTGCCAAATTAAGTGTAAAAATGTAATAAGAAAAGCCAAAAAGGAGTTTGAAGAACAGCCAGCCAAAAACTCAAAAAGTAATAACATGTTTTTTAAGTACATTAGAAGCAGGAAGCCTGCTAAACAACCAGTGGGGCCCCTGGATGATCGAGATACAAAAGGAGCACTTAAAGACGATAGTCATTGTGGAGAAACTAAATGAATTCTTTGCTTCAGTCTTCACGGCTGAGAAGGTCAGGGAGATTCCCAAACCTGACATGTCCTTTGTAGGTGACAAATCTGAGGACTTGTCTCAGATATAAGTGTTATTACAGGAAGTTTTGGAATTAATTGATAAACTTCACAGTAACAAGTCACCAGAACCGGATTGTATTCACCCAAGAGTTCAGAAAGAACTCAAATGTGAAATTGCGGAAATATTAAT